GTCAGTCAGACGCCGCGGCCGCCCCCCGGCGCCGGGGATCGCTTCCCCGCGGCTGGCAGGCTCACAAGGCGCGGGTTGTGGACGACGGTCCGCGCTCCCGCCCCGGGAGCCCGGGGCCGACTGACGCGCTGGGCCGCCAATGAGAGGCCGCGATGGAGGTGGGCGGGGCCTGGGGCAGAGATGGGCGGGGCCTCCGCGCACCCACCGGGTCCGCCGCGGCTCCGCGTGCAGAGCGGGGCGTGGGAAGCCGCTCCTCCGGAGACGTCTTGGGAATTCCACCTGGACGGATCCCGCGATCTCCCTAGCACTTTACATCGAAAGTCCATTGAGTGGGAAGCAAAGAAACCTGGTGGGTGGGATGATGAGGGAGAGGGACCCGTGCCTTTTTCCTCTCCACGGCGAGGGTACGGAAGGATTCCTATCCCTGGCCCGGACATTAAGCCGCTGGTGGGTCACGGCCATGGGAGGGCGAGGCTGGATCCAGATGTAGCTCCCGGCGCAGGGCCTCTTCCACTAGATTGGGCAAATTTTTTGATCTTTATTTTCCCCTAGGTCAGCAGAACGGGGTTATGCTTACTCAGAAGTCACTCACAGTTTATTTTAGGAGGCGGAATCTGTGCGTTATTGACAAAATTAATCCTCTGATAAAATTGTTTATCAAAAGGAAAAAATAAACAGACCAACAATAAAAAGGCGCTCACAACAAGGTTCTTTGGCCCCTGATTTTCTATTCAGCGGGACCCTTTTTCAGAAAAAAAGGGGGGGGAGAAAACGAAAGTCGTGGTGAACACTTCCTTTTTCTCCAATATACACAGTTCCAGAGAGAAACAGACTTGCATGTGGCAAGTTTGGACACCCTTTGAAACAAATCCCGTAACTAAAGAAAGATGTGGAAAACACTGGAATTTTAGGTGGCTCCAGTATAGTTAGGGCAATGTCAAGGGATGAATCAGCTTCTCTTTTTCTGAATCTCAGAGCAAAGGATCCTAGGTCTTTGGCAACTCCAGTAAAATTCCAACAGCAACAGCAATTAATTTACTGCTGGGCGTTTACTGACAGCTGACATCAGGCCAGGCACTCTGAGAATTCTTTTATGTTTTGCTTTACATATTATTTCATTTAATCCTCACATGTGCCCATGATGTAGGCACTGCTTCTATCTCCAGTGTACAGATAAGGAAACTGAGGCTCAGGAAATGCTAATGCAGAAGTTGAAATGAGATCTGTCTGATCTCTCCACCACCCCACCACTCTGCAACCCATGATTCACAAAAGATAATAAAAATGTTCCCAAACTCTGCTGCATGTTTAGAAAAAAAATCCCTTTTATCCAAATCATATGTGAACATAGAGGGGTAGTTTTCTGCAGCCATAAACCATGACTTGCGTGTTTTGAGCCATGTTACTCATACAAAGTAAATGGCTTAAAATTGCTGTGCCTACTTAAACCTAAACAAGGTTATGAGCAGTGATGAGTAAAATTGTCTATTCTAGAAGCTGAAAAGACCAAGACTAATTTCTTGTGGTATGATAAAATAAAATGTACTGAAGTCCTTTAATCACGAAACAAATTAACCAGTAGCCTTGCCCCGCTCCGACAAGATAATATTCATGAACACAGCTGTTTGAACTCAGCCTGAAATCCTTTCAAATAATTCATGGTCAGGGTTTTGTGGTTTGCTGTAATCTTCATTGTTACTCCAAAAGCTGAGTGGGAGGCCTCTTAAAATGGTACTGTACTTATAGTCCTAGACCTTGGAGCCAGACTGCCTGGCTTGGCTACCTACTAGCCACACAGTCTTGTACAATTATTTAAACTTTCCATGCCTCAGTTTCCTTATCTGTAAAATGGAGCTCCTGTGAGTACCTTTCCCACGGGATTGTTGTGGGGATGAAGTGATTAAATATGTCTAAAACCCTCAGAGTAATGCTTGGCACATCATAAACACTATATAAATATTAGTCAAATAAAGGATATGACTACATATCAAGATTCGGGCTTTTCTGGTCTACCCATGTGTGATTTACTGCAAGTCCTAACAAAACAAACCAAAAATGCCCCATAAATATAATCATAACTCCCCATTCTTTCCCTTTCCTGATCCTCAGCTCCTAACAAACATCATTCTACTTTCTGTCTTTGACTACTTTCTGAATTTGACTACACTTGCTACCTCATATAAGTAGAATCGTACGGTATTTGTCTTTTTGTGACTGGCTTGTTTCACTTAGCATAATACTGTCTTTATAATTCATCCATGTTGTAGACTGTGTCAGAATTTCCTTTTTTTCAAGGCTGAATTATATTCCATTCCACAGACATATGTATATCTCACATTTTGTTTTTCCATTCATTGATCAATGGACACTTGGGTTGCCCCCAAGTTATGGCTATTGTAAATAATGCTGCTATGAACATAGGTCTACAAATAACTATTTCTGAGTTTCTACTTTCAGTTCTTTTGGGTGTAAACCTAGAAGCAGAATTGCTGGATCATATGGTAATTCTGTGTTTAACTTTTTGAAGAACAGCCACACTTTTCCACAGCAGAAAACACTCTTGCCAACAGTGCATAGGATTCCAATTTCTCCACATCCTTGCCAACACATCATTTTCTATTCTTCTAATGATAGCCATCCTAATGGGTGTGAGGTGATTAGGGATGCTGAGTATCTTTTTATGTGCTTATTAGGCATTTGTATATCTTCTTTGGAGAAATGTCATTTAAGTTCTCTGGCTATTCATTGTCATTGCAAACATTACACCATCATTGTTGATATCCATAAAAATTAAAACCTGAGAAACCCTTATCTTTTTCTACTTCCCTTCTGCATTGTATCTGAGCATATGTTGCTTCTTATTTATATGAAGTCCCTGAATTTCTACAAATTCTTATTCCAAAATCAAGTAGGTTTAGTTTGGTGGGTTTTTTTGGATTTTATTTATTTATTTGTCAGAGGGAGACAGAGAGAGAGCACAAGCCGGGGGAGTGACAGGCAGAGGGAGAAGCAGTCTCCCCCGCTGAGCAGGGAGCCCGATGCCTGACTCGATCCCAGGATCCTGAGATCATGACCTGAGCCAAAGGCAGGCGCTTAACCGACTGAGCCACCCAGGTGTCCCATGGGTCAGTATTTTTAACAGAGGAAATGTGAAGAGGTTTCTAGGTGGTCGTGATGGTAATGATGATGATGATGTTGGCAGAGCTTAATTGAGCACTTATGAAGTGCTCTGTTTAGTGCTCTTTATGTATTAATTAATTCAACCCTCATTTGAGATATATACTATTATTATTAACAATGTACAGAAAAAGGCACTGAGTCACAGAGGGTTTAAAGTATCTAGCACTAGGTCATTCAGTTAGTAAATGGCAGCCTGGTATTTGAACCCAGCCTCCAGGGCCATATGGAAAGTATCCCCCCCCCCAAAAAAAAATCACTTCCCCTGAACTCAGTGATTCCCTGAAAGCCATATCTGATCTTTTTCCTGAATGAGCTGAGCCTAGAACAATGGTCTATCCTGCAACCTGCTACCCTGGGGCCTGGTGAGATGCCCCATGTCCCGTCCCTCATCACAGCACGAGAGTGAGTAAATGTGAGGACAGACACTAGTGTGAGCCAAGGCCCAAGCTGTCATTGCACAATCCGTGCTAAGAAATCCAGAGGGTCAAGGCAGGAATGGGGAAGCCAAGGTGTGACGTTTAATCAGGCAGAGAAGCCAGGAGAGTCCTTGAGGGAGGGGCCAACATGGCGGGAGCAGAAGCAGGCCTCAAGAGCCCAGAACCTATCCAGGAGTCCTGTGACTCCCCCCATCTGGGGTCTTTAAGCTGTCCAAGCTGGGGCCTCTGCTGTTAGTTCACAAACTGACCCCCTACACAGAAGGCAGGGAGAGACCAAAGGAAGAGGGAAGCCACTCCAGCTTGGTAGGTGGCACTTTTAATAGGCAAGGGAACTCACTTATGAGGTTTGTCTTGGGTGGCTGCAAGACGATTAGATCTCTGCACGCCCCTGCCAAATCTTAAAAATGTATAAAGAGGCCTTAATTGGGTTCAGTCATGCATATGATCCAGATGGTATCAACAACACCTTCCTCTCTCCAAGCTATGTCCTGGGAACAGCTCCCACTATGGGACTGGTGGTCAGAACACACATTCCAAGGACTGGGTGTGGGGTGGGTGAGGAGCCTCCGACTGCCCAGGTCAACCAGCAGTTACATTCTCTTGATGACCTCCTCTAACAAATGGTACAATTCAACATGTGTTCCTTGGTCTGGGATTTTGTCCACTGTGAAAATAATATCAATCAACTCAATTACAACACGATCCTATCAGTCATTTACACCTTAGTATCGGTAAACCTGGGATCTTTCGAAGAGCAGATGTTGAGAAGGAGAGTGCCAAGAGAGCCTACGAGCTGGCTAATGGGATAAAGGAGGTCAGCTGAGAGCTGTAAAGGGAACTGAAAGATGAGGGGTGGCGTGCGTGGAAAAGAACTTCATGATTTTGTCTAGGTCCAGAACTTAGCATTTCCTTATTTTATTATTTTTAGCAAATTCGATGACTTCACTCTTCCCCAAATCTCTGATTCCCCATTCCCCTGTCCTGCTGCAGTCTGTATACAGCTGTGTTTCCTTACCACCTCTGGCCTTTTACCTAGGTGTTTGCACTACCTGGGTGGGCTTTCTCTCTCCCTTCACCGGGCTGACTGGAGTGGTCTTTCCCAACCCTGCTCCAGCCTGCTCTCGTTGGGAAGCAATTCCAGACCACCCACAAGGAGTTAGCAACCCAGCTCCACCCTCCTGTGCATTCCTGCTCTTCCCACAGGACCCAGTGTGCTGCAAGCTACTTGTCTGAGTCCTCATCTCTCTCCACACTTGACTGTGAGCTCCCAAGGACGTAGATCCGTGTCCTCTGGGTCTTCTGCTCAATGTCTGGTGAACACTGAATGAGTGCTTGCAGAATGCAGCATATGGGAATCCTGCCTTTCTTCAAGGGCTCATCACCTCTTGCTGCTTCATCAGCAGCCTCTTGCTGCTTTATCACCAGGCTCAGAGTCTGCAGCCACATTCCTTCTCTTCCTCTACAAACAGGCTCTGAGCACTCAGATGTCTTTGTCCATGAATGTGCTTCCGACCATGGCCCTTCCTCCTTTGTGCCTGCTAAGCTTTTTAAGATTGCAGGGACAACAGGAGCCTTGCCACATGAAAATACAAATGAAAAAACAGTCTCTGTATAATTTGAAGATTAAGTAAAAATACATGGAGAGTCACAATCTCTAAAACTTTTGGATATTTTACTGGGCCTGCAGCTCTGATTAACCAACAAAGCAT